TTGACTCAAACGCTTATTTCATTGAGGTAAGCACGTTTCTTCATGAAAATCTGAAACTGACCAAATGACTCAAATCTTGATGCTGGTTTCACAAAAGTGCTGATTTCAATGAGGTAAGGACATGTGTCCATCAAAATCTCACACTCGCCAAACTACTCGAATCTTTAAATTGGCTTGACTAAAATGCATATTATTGTTAGATAAACACATCTGCACATCCTAACCTAACACGTCACCAATTGACTCAAATCATGATGCTGTTTCTTCTAAAATGCTTATTTCAGTGAGATAATAAGATTTGCACATCAAAATTTCACACTCACCAAATGACTCAAACTTTGCTGCTGATTGAACTAAAATGCTTATTACAGCTAGATAAGCACATCTGCACATCAAAATCTCACACTCGCCAAACTACTCGAATCTTTAAGGTGACTTGACCAAAATGCATATTACAGTGAGATAAACACATCTGCACATCAAAACCTAACACCTCACCAATTGACTCAAATCTTGATGCTGTTTCTTCTAAAATGCTTATTTCAGTGAGATAACAAGATTTGCACATCAAAATTTCACACTCACCAAATGACTCGAACTTTGCTGCTGTTTGATCTAAAATGCTGATTACAGCTAGATAAGGATGTTTGTACATCAAAATCTCACACTCACCGAATGACTCAAAGTTTGCTGCTGTTTCACTGAAGTGCTTATTTCAGTGAGATAAGCACGTTTGTGCATCAAAATGTCAGTCTAACCAAATGGATCAAATCTTGATGCTTGTTTGACTAAAATGTATACTTCAGTGAGATAAGCACATCTGCACATCAATACCAAACGACTCAAATCTTGCTGCTCGATGTACTAAAATGTTTATATCAGTGAGATAAGCACATTGTTGCATCAAAATCTCACACTGGCCAAATACCTCAAAATTTGTTGCTGGCTGTTCTAAAATGCATCTTTCAGCTAGATAAACACATTTGTACCTCAAAATCTCACACTAACCGAATGACTGAAAGTTTGCGGCTGTTTCTTCTAAAATGCTTATTTCAGTGTGATAAGCAGTTTTGTACATCAAAATCTCACAATCGCCAAATGACTCAAAATTTGCATTTGGTTGTGCTAAAATGCTTAATTCAGTGTGATAAGTATATTTATGCATCAAAATCTCACACTTACAAAATGAATCAATACTTTATGCTTGTTTGACTCTGTCCATGTCTCTCTCTCTCTCCATGTCTCTCTCTGTCCATGTCTCTCTCTCTCTGTCTCCATGTCTCTCTCTCCCTCTGTCCATCTCTCTCTCTGTGTCCATGTCTCTCTCTGTCTGTCCATCTCTCTCACTCCATGTCTCTCTCCGTCTCTCTCTGTCCATGTCTCTCTCTCTCTCTGTCTCCATGTCTCTCACTCTCCCTCTGTCCATGTCCCTCTCTCACTCTGCCCATGATTCTCTCTCTCTCTCTCTCCTGTCCATGTCTCTGTCTTTCTGTCATTCTGTCCTTGTCTCTCTGTCCATCTCTCTCTCTCTCTGTCCTTGTCTCTCTCTCACTCAGTCCATATCTGTCTCTCTCTCTGTCCATGTCTATCTCTCTCTCTCTCTCTGTCCATGTCTCACTCTCTCTCTGTCCATCTGTCTCTCTCTCTCTCTGTCCATGTCTCACGCTCTCTCTCTCTCTCCACATCTCTCTTTCTCTCTGTCCACCTCTCTCTCTCTGTCCACGTCTCTCTCTCTCTCTGACCATGTCTCTCTCTGTCCATGTCTCTTTCTCTCTCTGTCCATCTGTCTCTCTTTCTCTCTCTCTGTCTCTCCATGTCTCTGTCTCTCTGTCTTTCTGTCCTTGTCTGTCTGTCTCTCTGTCTATGTCTATCAATCTGTCTCTCTATCCATGACTCTCTCTCTCTGTCCATGTCTCTCTCTCACTCTGTCTCTGTCCACGTCTCTCTCTCTTTCACAGTTCTGAGGAAGGGTCACCGGACCCGAAACGTTAACTCTGTTTTCTCCTCCACAGATGCTGCCAGACCTGCTGACCTTGTCCAGCAACTTTGTTTTCGTTCTCTCTCTCTGTCCATCTCTCTCTCTCTTTCTCTCTGTCCATGTCTCTCTCTCTCTGTCCACGTCTCTCTCTCTCTATCCATGTCTCTCTCTCACTCTGTCCATATCTGTCTCTCTCTCTGTCCATGGCGCTCTCTCTCTCTGCCTATATATATATCTCTCTCTCTGTCCATCTCTCTCTCTCTTTCTCTCTGTCTCTCTGTCCATGTCTATCTCTCTCTCTGTCCATATCTCACTCTCTCTCTGTCCATCTGTCTCTCTCTCTGTGTCCATGTCTGACGCTCTCTTTCTCTCTGTCCACCTCTCTCTCTGTGTCCATATCTCTCTCTCTCTCTCTCTCCATCTCTTTCTCTCTCTCTCTCTCTCTCTGTGTCCATGTCTCACACTCTCTGCCTCTCTGTCCATGTCTCTCTTTCTCTCTGTCCACCTCTCTGTCGGTCCACGTCTCTCTCTCTCTCTCTGAACATGCCTCGCTCTCTGTCCATGTCCCTCTCTCTCTGTCCATGTCTCTCTCTCTCTGTCCATGTCTCTTTCTCTCTCTCCCCATGTCTCTCTCTGCCCCTTTGTCCATGTCTCTCTTTCCCTCTTTGCCCATGTCTCTCTCTCTCTTTGCCCACCTGTCTCTCTCTCTCTCTGTGTCCATGTCTCACACTCTATTTCTCTCTCTCTCCATGTCTCTCTCTCTCTGTCCATGACTCTCTCTGTCACTGTCTCCTTGTCTCTCTCTCACTCTGCCCATGTCTCACTCTCTCTCTCTCGCTGTCCATGTCTCTCTCTCCCTCTCTTTCTCTGTCCATCTCTCTCTCTCCATATCTATCTCTCTCCATATCTATCTCTCTTTCTCTCTGTCCATGTGTCTCTCTCTCACACTTTTTGTCCATGTCTCTCTCTCTGTCTGTCTTTGTCCATGTCTCTCTCTCTCTCTCTCTGCCCATGTCTATCTCTCTCACTCTGTCCACATCTCTCTCTCTCTCTGTGTCCATGTCTCTCTCTCTCTCTCACACGCACACAATCCAATGTTAAATCAAAGCCACATACATGCACATGAGTGGAGAACTGACAAAGATCAGATAAGCAAACTGAAATACCGGTCTGTAAATGAATGGTGAAAAACATTTCAAGGAAACAGTCAAAATATTTAACAAAAGGACAATCCATTGATGGTGCACCCCCTCTGACTGACAATGCCCCCACAGACTTCAACGCAATTTACATTCACATATTTCAGACATATCCAAGTCTTTGCTTCACATGCAGTGTGTTTGGCATGATCACTGCTGCCACATGCTTTGCTGGCACAGAATGAAGTGGCACACTAATGTAAAAACAAGGTACACATGCCCCGGACTGAGGACTGTTGTACAGTATGACTGTCAGCCCTGTTTTTGTCTCCACCAATTGCCACTACAAGGCTTTGGCAGGACAAGGTGAAGCATTCATGCTGTGGGCATGCTGGTAGGCAGGGGAATGCATGCACAGGGAGAACAGGAAAAGCCCTGATGGGCAGCTTGATCTGTAATATGGACTGGGTCCCTGTCCCTGGGCAGTAACTGGACACAATGCGGCTGTCCATTGCTAGTTCCTGGTGTTCCTTCCTAGGCAACTCTGGGCAGATTGCTGGTGCATCAATAAGGCACCAGGATGGTGATGGTGGCTCCCTGAATATCAAGTGCCAATGTCCATGGTGGAAGGGTACACATAGCAAATGCCTGTGAATCGTACCCTGCTCTGCAGTTTCACCATGGGCGAGACAGGTTGTTCAAAGGAGGCGGTGAACTGAATGCACCAAGCATCTGCTCTGATTTTCATGTCAGGTTTCCTGACAGCTTGTTGAGTGGGCACACTTGGTCAGATCATGAATGGAATCACAATGAGGCGCACTGGACCATCAACAAGGACATCTACATTAATGGCTGTCAATTGGTAGCTTGCTACTGCCCGGTGAGAATCTCACCACTCTGTTTGGAGAAGTGTGAAAGACAGTATGAGTTGATCCCGATGCAAAGATGGGCCTTGCTAAATTTCTCCTCTGATTCTGTTACCCATCTCAAGGAACAACGCCACATTTTCCTCTTCAGCACCTCAAAACCTCAAAGGCTCAATATTGAATTCCACAATTTCAAAGCATTACTTCACAACATCTGTCCTCCAGTTTACTTCCATTTGCCCACATGGCCTTGTCTTGCTGACTTTGAGATAGCAAGAACTGCAGATGCTGGAGTCAGAGTCAATAAGGTCTGGAGTTGGAGGAACACAGCAGGTCAGGCAGCATCAGAAGAGCAGGAAAGTCGATATTTCAGGCCTGACCATTCATCAGACCTGTAACATTGACTTTCCTGCTCCTCAGATGCTACCTGACCTGCTGTGTTTCTCCAACTTCGCAATGTATTGACTCTTGTTGACATTGCTCTGAGCAATAGGACATTTTCTGCCTTTTACACCTCCATTAATACCCATTTGACACCTCAATCACTCTTTCACCACCGTTAGCAATCTCTGCACCTTCATCTTACTCCGTCTACAACATAAATAATATCATTTTCCAGCCCTTTTCAGTTCTGAAGTTTCATATCAGATTCTAGACATTGACTGTTTTTCTCTCCACACAAGTTGCTCAATCTGCTGAATTCCTCCAGCACTCTGTCTGGACTATTTTTGATTATTCGTAAGAATGCTTTCAAGTCTATAAATCACTCAGCGACAGTTTGTAAAACCTCTAGGGTGAACCATTAAAGTTAAGCAGATAACTTGGGCTAGCTGCCACATGGAGAAGGACAAAAAGATCCAAATCACCAAGTGAATATTCATCACCATTTGGGACAGAAGGCCGAATGCTGTTCTGGTCAGTTGTCTGAAGACATTTACGACATTTCATGTGTGTTTTCTGTTATTACCCGTCATCATCGATTATTTCTATCAATTTCAAAATGTGAAACATCGAAACTTTAAAACATTAAACATGTGCTTTTTATTTTTTTTTTATGCCTGCTGACCATTTTATAACCCAGCGTGACATTGCCAGCACTGATGATCTTCAAACTTTACATAGCACCCTGACATTGTGGTTAAAGCCAGGCAGATTCTGTCTTCATTTCACCATTGCTAAAGATTTGTAAATGTTGCAGGGTCCAGGATGTTGTGGAGGAAAGATGTCCTGAGACTAACAAAGTCACATGGTCACACAGCACGGAAACAGACCTTTTCGTCCATCTCGTCCACACCAACTAGACATCCCAATCTGATCTAGAACACAAACAAAGTTACTGGAAAAGTTCAGCAGGTCTGGCAGCATCTGTGAAGGTTAAAACAGAGTTAACGTTTCAAGTCCGGTGACCCTTCCTCAGAACTGATGGTGGCTGGGAAAACATCAGTTTATATGCAGAAAATAGGGGAGGGGGATGGGCTAGGGAGTAAACGATATGATGGAGCCTAAAGAGAGAGAAGAGCAGTTGGACAGACAAAGAGTTGATAACGATCAGACTGGGAGGGTGAATTGTTGTTTATGGGGACTATTAGTGACTAACAACAGGTAGTGTGTAATGGCAGGCTATGTGGTAACAAGGCCTGGTGTGTGGGGTAGGGGGCTAGGACATGGGAGAGTTTAGGCCCTAAAATTATTGAACTCAATATTGAGTCTGGAGGGCTGCAGGGTTCCCACGTGGAAAATGAAGTGTTGTTCCTCTAGCTTGCATTGAGCTTCGCTAGAACACTGCTGCAAGCCAGAGACAGAGATGTTGGCCAGGGAACAGGGTGGTGCATTAAAGTGGCAGGCAATGGGTAATTCAGGGTCTTTTTTGCAAGCAGAACGTAGATGTTCTGCAAAGCGCTCACCTAGTCTTCGCTTCATTTCCCCAATGTAGAGGAGACCACATTAGGAGCAGCAAATGCAGTAGACTAGATTCTGGGAAGTGCAGGTGAAGTGTTGTTTCACCTGGAAGGTATGCTTGGGCCTTTGGATACTGAGGAGGGACGAGGTAAATGGGCAGGCGTTGCACCTTCGTTGGTTACAGGGGAAGGTGCAGTAGGGCTGTGGGGGGTGTTGGGGGTGAAGGAAGTGTGGACCAGGGTGTCCCAGAGGGAACGGTCCCTGCGGAAGGCAGACAAGGGAGGGAAGGAGAATATGTGTCTCGTGGTGGCATCTCGCTGAACGTGGCGGATTCATCCAGCCCTGCACCTTGTTGTCTCGGATTCTCCAGCATCAGCAGTTCCTACTATCCCAGTTTACACCCCAGGCACACTCACCATCTGTTCCCCTCGCTCTCACTCCTTCTCTGTCTACAATATTTTTTTTGAAAAAACAGCATTTCCTAGCGCTTTTCAGTTCTGAACAAGAGTTAGATCAGAGTTTAAATATTAGCTGTTTCTCTCTCCACACAACTTTCCTGATCTGCTGATTTCCTCCAGCACCCACTGGATGAACCACATTACCCATGCTGCCTTTTGAGACCCACGTTGGCGCTGGCAGCCTGGTGTCGGACACAGGGGGCCTGATGGGAGCTGTAATGCTGACGAGGCGGATGTGAGTGGGGAACAACAGCTGGGAATTGGAGCGTGAGCGCGCGGCGGTCATGTGGTACAGCTGGTGCTGGGAGAGTGCCCCTGCAAATACCGAGTGCGGGGCGAGGGGTGGGGTTGAGAAACCAACAGACCCATTAATCATCACCCTCGCTCCGCCTGCACACACAATCCACAGTCTCCCTTCGAATGACATCCCCTTTCCAGACCTTCCCCACGCACCCCTTCCCTCCCCTCCCTCTGCCGGACATTCCCGACGATCACCCCTCCCCTCCCTCTTGCAGACATCAGTCCCCTCTATCTATCCTCCTGCTCGGCCAGATACCCCTTCCTCCTCAACAACCCCTCCCCTCCTTTTCACTTGAAATAAAAGTTTGGACACTCGACAAAACAGCTGTAGACTTGAAAATATATTTAACACTTTTGCAATAGTTCTGTAATTAAGCAAGTTATATTTCAGTGTTACCAGCAGTGTGCTAACCAACCAAGTGGAATTTAGATGGTCATAAGATTTTAGGGAACAGAAAACCAAGTTTAGGCCATTCAGCCCCTCATTCCAGCACCACCAGTCCATGGGATCATGGCTGATATATCTGTAGCCTTAACTTAACTTTCCTGATAGCCCCTACAACCACTAACACCATCATTTATCAAAAACTGTTACATTCAGCCGGTAATACCTTCAATGACCCAGTCTGTATGGCTCTCTGGGAAGAGAATCGCAGTCCAATGGCTCTTAAAAGGAAGGAATTACCCCTCTTCCCTGCTTTTGTTAGGAGACACATTATTCTGAAACTGTGCCTTCTGGTTCTGGATTCTCCCACCAGGGAAAACAGTCTCTCAGCATCGCCCCTTTCTCATCCTGTCAGAATCCTGGAACATTCAATAAGGGCACCTCCTATTCTTCAAATCTCCAACAAAAATGCAGTCAAAATGTGCTCGATCCTGCCCCACAAGGTAACCCTCACTTCCCCTCCCTACCTTGCCAATCCCAGGATTGAGATAAGAGAAACGTCTCTAAACTATCACAGTGCAACAGCAGCCTCTCAAAGCAGAAACCAAAACTGGACCCAGATCTCTAGCTATGGTTACAGCAATGCATCACATTGGTCCAGAAAGCCCTCCATGTGCTCCTACACTCGTCACCATTTCCCTCCCACTCTCACAACAAAGGCCAACATTCCCTGCACTCTTCCACACAGCCACTGCACACACATACCATGAGATCAGAACTATGTACAAGTGGAAACTGCTTCAGTCCAAACAGTCTGGTCCTTACACTCTCCCTGGGACCCTCCATAAAGACCAAACCACTCCCTGGGACCCCCTATAAATACCGACGCACTCCCTGGGACCCCCATAAATACTTAAACACTCCTCCCAGGACCCATAAAAACATGGACACACTCACTGGAGACTCACTGTTGTCTCTCTGTGGATGTCTGTTACACACACACACTACCTCCGGACTCATGTGAACATGGAGAAGTCAATATGTAAATGATGACATATTATTTAATACTCCCCCGAGACTTCCTTTGAATACTCAGTTTCCATGGAGAGACTCTGTAAAAACTGACACACTTCCTGATGATTCACTACAAGCACTAGAACACCATACTGAGACACATTTTAAATACTTACACATTCAGACAACCCCCTTTAAATACTGACAGTCCCATTCAACTCCCTGTAAACACCATCATAGTCACCCTGCACCCCTGTAAATATTGATAGACTCTCTGAGGTTACTCTGTATACACTGCTGTATTCGCTCTGGAACAGCCTGCAATTATTAACACCCACCCCTTGGATTTCCTGTAGATACTGATATACTGACCCCGAAAATTCAAAAAAACACATCTTGCAGGGATTCCCTGTCAACACTGACCCACTCCCCAGGGCCTCCCTGTAAAAATTGAAACCCTCCCCCCTCAGTCCCCAGAAATTACTACCACCCTCCTGATGGATTCCCTGTAAATATTGACACACTCCTCTGGGATTCCTTGTAAAATACTGTCACAATCCTCAGGCACAGCCTTTAAATCCTGATGCCATCCCCAGGATCACTCTGTAAATGCTGAAACCCGTCCCCCATGGTATTCTGTAAATACTGATGCATCCCCTCTGGAATTCCTGTAAATATTAACAAGCTCCTCTTGGATTACCTGTAAATGCTGCTTTTATAGTCATAGAGCCATACAGCATAGAAACAGACCCTTCAGTCCAACCCGTCCATGCTGACCATATGCCTAAACTAAACTGGTCCCATCTGCCTGCGCATGGCCGTTGTCCCTCCAAACATTTCTTATTCATATACTTATCCAAACATTTAAACATTGTAACTGTACCCACTTCCTCTAGCAGTTCAACCCCTCACATGAACTGTGTAAAAATAGACACCATTTTAATATCTTTTTCCTCTTACCTTAAAATATGCGTCCTTGTCTTGAAATTCCCAATCCAGGGAAAAGAGACCTGCCATTCACCTTATCTATACCCCTCAAGATTTTGTACACTACTGTAAGGTCAACCCTCAGCTTCATCCACCCAGGATCCATGAAAATAGTTCAGTGACTCACTGTAAATACTGACACACTCTCCAAGGACGCCATGTTAATGTTGGCAGTCTCCCTGGACACCCTCTGTAATAATGGTACACGACGTAGGACCTCAAGTAAATAACAACAAGGTCCCCTCCAGACCCACAATAATTACTGAATCAATACCCTGGACTCTCTGCAACTACTGATACACTCCCCTAAATACTCTTCACTCGCTGAGGATGCTCAGTAAGCACTGCTACCCTGACTGTGACCCACTGTAAGGGAGGATGAACTCCCCAGAAAATCCCTAAGATACAGAGATAAGAACAAACAACAAACAACAAAGAAAATTAGAGCACAGGAACAGGCCTTTCGGCCCTCCAAGCCTGCACCGACATGCTGCCCATCACAACTAAAACCCCCTACACTTCTGTGGACCGTATCCCTCTATTCCCATCTTACTCATGTATTTGTCAAGACACCCTTTAAAAGTCACTATAGTATCTGCTTCCACTATCTCGCCAGGCAGCAAGTTCCAGGCACCCACCACCCTCTGTGCAAAAAAACTTGCCTCGTACATCACGTTTAAACTTTGCCCTTCGCACCTTAAAACAATGCCCCCTAGTAACTGACTCTTCCACCCTGAGAAAAAGCTTCTGACTGTCCACTTTGTCCATGCCCTTCATAATCCTGCAGAACTCTATCAGGTCGCCCCTCAACCTCTGTCATTCCAGTGAGAACAACCCAAGTTTCTCCAACCTGTCCTCATAGCTAATGCCCTCCTTACCAGGCAACATCCTGGTAAATCATTTTTGTACCCTCTCCAAAGCTACCACATCCTTCTGGTAGTGTGGCGACCAGAATTGAACACAATATTCCAAATGCGGCCTAACTAAGGTTCTATAAAGCTGCAACATTATCCACCAATTTTTAAAATTGATGCCCTGGCTGATGAAGGCAAGCCTTGTTGATGACCTTCTCGACCTGCGTTGCCACTTTCAGTGACCTGTGTACCGGTACTCCCAGATCCCTCTGCCTATCAGTATTCTTAAGGGTTCTGCCATATACTGTATATTTTCCATCTGGATTAGACCTTCCGAAATGCATTACCTCACAGTTTTCCGGATTAAATTCCATCTGCCATCTCTCTCTGCCCAAGTCACCAATCGATCTATATCCAGCTTTATCCTTTGACAGTCCTAATCGCTTTCACAATGCCACCAACATTTGTGTCATCGGCAAATTTACTAATCAGGCCAGTTACATTTTTCTCCAAATCATTGAAAATATTACAAATAGCAAAGATCCCACACTGATCCCTGAGGAATGCCACTAGTCACAGCCCTCCACTCAGAAATGGACACTTCCATTGCTACCCTCTATCTTCTATGACCAAGCCAGTTTTTTTATCCATCTTGCAACCTCACCTCTTACCCCTTACGACTTAACCTTCTGTATCAGCTTGCCAAGAGGGATCTTGTCAAGTGCCTTACTGAAGTCCATGTAGACAACATCCACTGCCCTATCCTCATCGATCATCTTCACCACTTCCTCAGAAAACCCAACCAAGTTAGTGAGACATGACCACCTCTTCACAAAACCACGTTGCCTCTCACTAATATGCCCACTTATTTCCAAGTGGGAGTAAATTCTGTCTCGAAGAATCCTCTCCATTAATTTCCCTACCACTCACGTCAGGCTCAATGGCCTATAATTAGTTGGATTATCCTTGCCACCTTTCTTAAACAAAGGAACAAAATTGGCTATTCTTCAATCCTCTGGGACCTCCCCTGTAGCCAGTGAGGATGCAAAGATTTCCCTCAAGGCCCCAGCAATTTCCTCCCTTGCCTCTCTCACTATTCTGTGGTATATCTGATAAGGCCCTGGGATCTTGTCTACCTAAATGTTTTTCAAGAGCCCCAATACCTCCTCCCTTCTAATCTCAACATGACCCAAACTATCTATTCACCCTCTCCCCAGACTCATCATCTACCAAGTCCTTCTCTATGGTGAATACTGACACAAAGTACTCATTTAATACCTCATTCATTTCCTCTGGCTCCACACATAAATTCCTTAACCCTCTCCCTGGCTAACCTCTTGCTCTTTATATATGTATAAAAAGCATTGGGATTTTCCTTAATCCTGTTGGCCAGTGACTTTTCATGACCTCTTTTAGCCCTCCTGACTCCTTGCTTAAATTTCTTTCGACTTTCCTTGTATTCCACCCTCGCTTCTTGTGTTTCCAGCCTCCTAGCCTTGATAAATGTTTCCTTTTCATTTTGACGATGCTCAAAATATCTCTTATTATCTAAGGTTCCCTAAACTTGCCTTACTTATCCTTCATCCTTACAGGAATGTGCCAGTCCTGAGTTCCCAGCAACTTATACTTGAAAGCCTCCCACTACCTGACAACTAAACCTATCTTTGCCTTAAAACTTACTGAATTGTGATCACTGTTCCCAAGCTGCTCCCCTGCTGAGAATTCAACCACCTGGCCAGGCTCAATCCTCAATTCTAGGTCTAGTATGCTGCCTGTCCTACTTGGACTATCTACATACTGTTTCAAAAAGCCCTCAAGAATGCTCCTAACAAACTCTGCCCCATCTGCATCCCAAGCACTAAGTAAGTCCCAGTCAATATATGGGAAGTTAAAGCCACCCATGACAACAACCTTGTTACTTTTACACCTTGCCGAAATCTGGCTACATATATGTTCTTCTATCTCCCGCTAGCCATTTGGAGGCCTACAGTAAACCCCAAATATTGTGATTGCACCCTTTCTGTTCCTGAGCTCTAGCCATATTGCCTCGCTGTATGAGCCATCCGAGGTGTCCTCCCACAGTACAGCTGTGATATTCTCCTGAACAAGTAGTGCAACTCCCCCATCCCTTTTACAGTCCCCTCTCTCCTGCCTGAAACATCTGTATCCTTGAACATTAAGCTGCCAATCCTACCCCTCCCTTAACCAAGTCTCTGTAATAGCAACAACATCTTAGTTCCAAGTGCTAATCTGAGCTCTAAGTTCATCTGTCTTACTTGTTACACTTCTCACATTGAAACAGATGCACTTCAATCCATCAGACCCGCTTTGATCAACAACCACACCCTGCCTGCTCTTCCTCTGAATCTTACTGGCCCTATTGTCTAGTTCCCTTTCAGTCAAATTCGCTTTTGCTTTGGTTCCCAACACCCTGCCAAGCTAGTTTATATCTTCCTAAGTGATGCCAGCAAACTTCCCAGCAAGAGTATTTGTGCCAGATAGTTTTGGGTGATCATCCTGTAAATAGCACGCCACACTCTCACTGGAGATACTCTATAGATTTTGACTCATTACCCACAAGCACTCTGTAAACACTGATTGGGGAACCTCTATAAATACTGACATGCAAGATTGAGCATAAATCCCCAATAGTAAAACATATGGACAAAACCCTTGGTTTTTGGTCAGAACTCTGGACTTCCAAAACTTTTAAAAGAAAAGCGACATCTGGACAGAATCTGCAGGAAATACATAACACAACTGGCAGGCCTGGGGTCACAGATTGCTGTCTGGGATTATTGTTCAGCCTGTAATCCCAATTTACACCTCGTCTCAAAGAGCAATTAACTGAAACCACCAGATCCTGGTCGGAGATATCTCTTACACTTTGGGCTGCACAGCACGGATAGTATGGGGCCTACAGAGGTACAGGACATTCAACCTCGATCAAAATCCATTCACACACTCTCAAACCATTACAAACTCAATTAAACTCAGAAGAGAACATCAAGAGCATAATGAAAACTACAGATTTGGCGCAGAGATTAAAAGGCCCACAATCAGTATAACTGTCAGCCCTGACCTTACTGAAGGAGGAACTGAACAAAAAGCATCCAAACATGGACCTTTCCAAACCAAGAACACTGACAGCAAGAACCTGACCCAGACCATCCGAAACTACACCAACAAACACGATCAATCACTGAATCCACT